TAGGGCACTGTATCACATTCTCTCCACTAGAAGGGCACTTCACAGCAGCACCCTTTTCCATTGGAAGGGTACCCATAGGGGCCGCTTAGGCCATTGTAAGAGCACCTTATAGGGCACTGTATCACATTCTCTCCACTAGAAGGGCACTTCACAGCAGCACCCTTTTCCATTGGAAGGGTACCCATAGGGGCTGCTTAGGCCATTGTAAGAGCACCTTATGGGGCACTGTATCACATTCTCTCCACTAGAAGGGCTCTCATTAAGACACTTCATCACTTGCTCTATAGGGGACATGTCCTCATGGGAAGAGGGGTAAATCATGTGAATGACAACCATAGTGGCGTTTTTACTACTCAAAAGGGCACTTCAGCCACCCCCGAGTATACCGGTGATGACACAACGTCAGGGAGCCATAGCTTACTGTAAGCGTGACAGAAAATCACCAAACTGGGGGTGAAGCCCACTTGTATGGTCCTCAGTCACTCATGACAGCTTTAATCGTTTTCTCTCCATTTGCAGTCCAGGTTATTCTGAACCCACAGCCTCTGTTTGATGACTACAAAGCATGTGGCATTAATTCTTAGTCATCGCATTTTTTTTTTTTAAATGAAATATCTAGAGTGACAGGTTTGTACAGTTTTATTTATTTAACTGACAATTTCACTTTTGGGAACAAGTAAGGGACTTGGAGATAAGACTTATGACTCATGACTTCACACACTGGAAATAAGACGTTGGATTGGCCTATCTGCCTGATAAGGCTATGCTTCCTCTCTCTGAGTTGTTAGTTCACTTCAGTGTAAAAATACCTGTTCAGTGAGGACTGGGTCACACAGGCAGGAATCTCAGTGGGTTGCTTGTTTTTATAAATTATTGTCTTTTTTCCTTTTTATTTTAATGTTTTGGGGGTAGGCGTTAGAACAAAAGGTGAACCATACCTGTAGAAAGGCGCTGTGAGGAAGGGCAGGATGGTGACACCTGACACTCATTCAGGCTGAGCTCATTTCTTGCTGCCTCACCACTGGCACATGACACATGACACAGACTGGAAATGGGTGTGGTGTTACACCTCCATAAGAGTTCCTCAATATATGGTGTGAATCAAAGATAAAATTATTTAGGGCTCTGTGAGAAACTAACAAGATGTAAAGCGTGGGAAGTATGTTTTTAGCATTTTCGATTACGAATATTTAGTTTACTAAGACTTTACTAGTGAACTATAAATTGCTATGTTAAGTATGGCACTTTCAGTTGTTTTAATGAAGTATTCCAAGTATTCGAATGATGTAAGTAAGGGAGATCTCGTTAGCAGTCGGCTTCAGCTACATTGATCATTTCACTATCACTTAAGTATGCAATCTTTGATCCGGGCTTATCACATGCTAACTCTTACATACTGTATGCGGTATTCTGATATCGCTGTACTGCATTAGACCTGCCGACACTATAAAAACGCCCTTGAAAAGCGTATGTCAGAACTGGGCGCGTACCTTATAAAGACATTATTGCCCTTATCTGATAACCCTTTGCAGAATGAATGAGTCAGAAAGAATGAACGAGTGAGAATGTGTTTGAAAGGAAGTTACCTGTATATTACACGAGATAACGTGAGGTCCGGATGTGTACCTCGCATTTCTCAATGACTAAGTTCTTTAAACAAATGCATTCTTCCGGTGGAAATACCCAACATATTTCAGTTACCCTGATTTTTTTTTTTTTTATGCAAAATATCTTAGTGTGTCAGAATCATTCCCTATGCTATGTTGAACTGAAATGTATGTGTTTAAGATCTAAATATCATGACAAAAATTATCTTTTCATTAAATAGAATGAAACAGAATATTATAGCCTATCAGTTGTAGTTTTACTACAATACATGATATACTATATAATATAAATGTAAGCTCAGTCAATGTTAAGAGCCCATTTGGAAGAAATTAAGTCTTTTTTTTTTGTTCACTTAGGTGTAAGTAACCAAAAATGGCATGCCAATTGTCAGACAAATGAAAAGTTTATAAAATAATATTTATTAAAATAAATACATGTTGAAGTATAAAATAATTTAGACAACACTTTGTGTACAGAAGAGAACAAAATAAATTAACATGTCGCGTTGCAGGTCTATTGCCTTTGCGGGAGTCTTTCCACGGGTCGCACATTCTTGAAATTGGAGGAAAGCCTTTAACTTTTGGCTTAGAAGCTGCGGTCTCTGCGCCGGTTCCCCTTCGGGATCCGCTGTCCGAAGCTCAGCATGGACTCTCCAGTCAGAGAAAATCCTTCATCTTCAGACCTTTTAAACAACGTCTCCATTTGGTCCAAGTCTCCGCCGTCCGTACTTGACGCTGTGTTTCAAAGTACAGAAACCGTCAGCATGTTCGTTTTATTCCCAGCAGTGTTTCTAATTGTCTGTATATTCAACGAATTAATTTTGAATTGCTGGACCGGAAAAATCATTGTATTTAAGAGTTAAGTGTTCACCATATTTAAAAATTACGCAAGGTTACTTATACGATCTAAAGAGTTTTGGTAGGCCTGTGTACAGTATATAAATAAACGCCTTTCTTAAATGCTAACATGCAGTGAATCCAATCGCATAACATATAGCATGAGAATGCGAACCACTTACCTAACTGTTTTATTGCAGGGGTATGTGCACGATCAGGGACCTCTTGCCAGCCGCTTCTCCTTTTGCTCCGGCGAGGCGATCTCGTCGTCCTGCCGCGTTTTGAAGTTCTCAATGGCTCTTCTGTTCTGGAAGTCAATCAGGGCCATGGTGATGACCGCATTCCAGCAGCTGTCCGGGCCGGCGCATCGGAAGTCTATCTCTTTATTATCCGTTGTGACAATGGTGAAGTAAACAAATTTCCCCGTCCGCTCCACGCAGTCCACCTTCTTGATCGACTGCAGTTTGAGCTCCTTGCTCTTTGACTTCTTCTGGTTGTCGGCGTAGATGTTCAGGCTGTCTGTGGTAAGGACGCACATCTTCCTTCTCCAGAACTGGAGAAAGTTGTCGCTCCTCTTTTCCAGCTCACCCTCCTTCAAAACGTGCGAAATCTCGGCCGCTGACATTTTCATGTTTTTATTCTTTGGCCAGATTTTGGTAATTAGATTCCGTCTCCAGATCCTCAGGTATTTGACTGGTTGCTGTGTGGTGTTGCAGTTGAATTCCCAGCAGGAGTGATTATTCATGGAGATACTTTTATCCTGCACTTAAAAGAATGAATGAAGTTTTCCGATCGCTCCGTTTTATAGCCTCTGCCAAGTCTTCCCACCCGACGTCACTCGCTATGAAATCTGTCGCCTCCCACGCGGCTGTACTGGGAAGCTAAAGGACTGGGTAACCATATTCGTAAAAGCTCATCCAGATGGAATTCTTCAAGAAACATTTCTTCGGTGGTTAAACTTCTTAAGGCATTTCACAGTATCAGTAATTCTGAAGTTCATGAGCAGTGCAATTTCAATTTATCAAAATGCATTTTAAAACGCTTAGCCAGGGAGTTACCTTTACTATTACTTCGGTTTCTTAAACAATCGTGTAGAGCTGTATTAAGGATCATTAAATTTCATATGACTTGATCGAAATCAATAGACCTATTTCTTGTTTTATTACTCTGTGATTCGCTGCATAAAATCGGCCACATGTACAGTCATGCCCTTTTCCCGATTTAATAACCTTGCCACCTAGTGGATTTTTGGCAGCATTACTAGTGGAGTCACGATAGGTTCATTATAGCCCGTGGTCAATGCAAATAATTATACGCAATTTGATATGGCTGGATGAGGCTGATGTACCATGATTTCTGCCTGGTGAAAAAAATCTATCAAGTTACCTGTGACCTCACAGTATAACTAATTCAGTCAGCGACATTTGTACTGTTCTGCAGTTTCTAGAAAAGTAGGTGTGCGTGCATGTGGTTATAGCTGCGTAAATGTATAAAATATATACAGTAATGTATGGCATTATAACCCCCCCCCCCCCCGTTGTACCTGACTCTGAGCTCAGTAATCAAGCTTTGCTCCCAACTGTATGCCTGCATATGTGTGTGTGTGCATGCGTGTGCGTGTGTACGTGCATGCATGCGTGTGTGTGTGTGTGAGAGAGAGAGAGAGAGAGAGAAGTAAGCAAGGTGGGTTACACTGGCAGAAAGAAGTGTACAGCCCTGGAACAGTTTAGTACCCCAAGGTACAAACAACATTAATCTGCTCCCAATGATGCAAAAATGTTCCATTTCTGTACCTTAAATTAGACTGAAAGGTACATTTACCTACAGCTAGGGTACAACAGGCAGACCCTTGAGGGTACAGCATCAGTGACAAATAATTGTACCCTGATAGGTACAAATCAGTACTGATTTTTTCTGGCAGTGTATGCATAGAGGAGTATTCCAGTGTCCACGGAGTCCTACAGTATTTGTGAAAATAGTGAATACAAGGAAGATCATCAGGCATATTACACATGCTCTGCAGAGCTACCCAAAGGTTTTTGTGGTGGTGGTGGGGGGGGGTTAACTGTTGTCACTCTGTTGTAGGAATGACTATGGGGGCCTTCAGAAGATAACTGTAGTTATCACAAGACTGTCCCTCAGGTCCAGCCAGGTTTCTCCATTTTCCTGCTGCTCTTGTCACAGTGATAATGTCGAAGCTGCTGCCCCCCCAGCTGGTCCGCTGTCCCAACAAAACGCTGATAGTAGCTGTCAGAGGCGCATGTAGGTTTACTTCACACGAACGGCAGCAGCAGTGTTAATGATCTGATTCCAAATGTGCTGAGAACAGAAGTGTCGGTCAGTAGTTTCAGGGCACGGGGACTGAATGATGGAGCAGGTCTGTTCAGGGAGGTGAATGGTGCCCGTCTATGATACACCAGCAAGACTAAACAAGGGTGATACTGAGAAGCACGTGTGCTGCTTTTGTGCCAAGAACCCCCCCATGGCATAGGAAGAATCTGAGTGGGCTGCAGACCTTCGTCAGATGTTTACCAACATTGGTCACTGAATGACAGGAAGAGTGTAGAAATCGATGAACGTGGTTCAGACGTCCAGCTTCCTTTCCCCACACAGTCTGGCAACCAAGGCTAATGAGTCACACTGTCTCCACGCATTGACAGGCTCTACAAATTTTCTGGGAACCACCCCACACTTAACCACAATCCAGCCGCCCAGGGATCCTTAATCTCTAAGCGGAAGTTCCTTCGACATTTTCCTTACTTTATACATTTTTTTTACCGTGTTGACGTGCTGTTTATGCTCCGATCTCTTCATTTCTCTTTAATTGAGCGTTATGCTGTCTGACTGTGCTGAATTACTCAGTGTTACCATAAAAGTTCCAAGGAGGAAGACTGAACATGCAGGACATGGACGGCTGGTACAGTTACAGTACATCCTGTGCCCCCGAATGCGCTTTTATGCCATTTGTCATGCATATCGTCACACATGGTGAAGCGTGTCTGCAGTGACAGCCACTCTATAAACTGTACAGACTGCGGACTGGTGTCAAATGCACGACTTTGGGAGATTCACTTCGAGGCAGGCCTCTTCCTGAAAGACATCTAGGCACCCTGTTGTCGGAGTTTGGAGAGGCTGTGTTTGCAACACCCACTTCAGTGTCTTTGTGTGAAGAGCTTCGATTGTCAGCTCAGAGGAACTGGGTTCCGGACACACACTTGTGAAAACCAGCATTCCATTTCTCATCCTTGCGTCAGAGCATCTTTGATGCACAGACACACTCTTGCAGAGGACATGACAGGCTCACACAATGCCCTTCCTTAATTAAGAATGGCAAGGATTACAGCACTGTGAAACACTCCAAAAGAGCCAGGTAATAGCCCTGTATTAGGAGGGTGTGGAGAATGTCATTTCGAGGGTGTAAAACATGAGCCGAAGGCGTTCAGTGGTTTTAACACAATTGAACATATTTAAACATGATTGAAAGATTTTTTTATGTAAGTCTAATATTTGAATCCAGTAAAATAAAAAAATCTCTGAAGTTTTCACCATTGTAGTCTGAGCCTTTACGTACTAAGGTGCAGAAGAAGATCAAGGTTCCGTTTCCCGTAAAACACCTGCAGGAAAATTGTTTGTGTGGGCGGCATCATCGTCAGGGACAACGTAGGGCCATCGGCCGCATTGCTGCCGCGTGAGTCATTAGTAAGGACTGTGGCTTTGAAGGGAGTGGCTGGGTTGGGGGGGAGGGGACTCTCTTCTTTCCTTGCGTGGGGTTGGCCTGCTCAGAGTCCGGTTACATACAGCTCTTTTATGGAATTACCCATTATCATGTAGTGGTTAGTAATAGCCACGTATCAACGCCGCAATTCTTAACAAAGGCGGATCATTATTTAGTCATGGGCGTACTATGATAACCTTCTATGAATTACTCAGATTTTGTTCAATATTATCAGTCGGTGTAGTCAAAATAAAGTGGGCACAGCTAGCGAAAGAGACGCGGGTATTTCGCAGTGTTGTCTTGTTTATCTTAAAATGGTACTGCAGGGGTCATTCTGGGAATTTACCCATAATTGAAATGGTAAATGCACAAGCATATTGTGTGAGGTGACTAGCAGAGCAGATGCAAACACTCGACTTACATACCATTACCATTCCAAACTGGGAGCAACTAGTAAGATAATTATGTTGAAATGTGCCTCTGTGTTAAATATGGAAAATGTCCTTTTAAAGCCAATTTTTATTTTGCTGTCAAATTCAGATTTTGCGATAAGCATAATAATCACACAATAACTGAAGTCCATTCAGTTCAATCAGAATCTACCCAGCCAATCGCTTCAGGAGAGCAGAAGGGGCACAGAGCAGCCGCAAGGTCATTTTATAAGCTGTTATCTCCATGAAAGGGATGAGACCATCAGTAATGTACGACCTTGTTAACGCACCTGACCATTCCATACCTTTGTGTTTCTGTATCCTGATCTAACATCAGCAATACTTCTCAGGTAGGTCTGCTCAGTGGCTGCTAAGGAACAAGAATCCTGAAATCCACTCTTCTTATGACTCAGCGTGATTCAGTCAACTCCCAGAATTAGATGCTACTTGATTGCTTTCCAGTCGTAAAAAAAACAAAAAAAAAAACAAACCAGGTGTGAGGAAGTGTGATTTGAAGATTTGTTATAATCCTCCTTGGATGTACAGTAATCTGTCCCTGACTGTAGCCTAATACTTTCTCTTATAGTTGATGGGGAAAATAATCAACCTGAAATAAATATAATCCTAGTGATTATTACTGTAATTTTGGCCAAACTGCAAATATTAATTACCGAGAACTGTAGTATATATAGGTGAAACACACAGCATTGTGAGTGCCTGCCTGTGTCACATTCCCAAGAGCAATTTCGGAGATCTGCGATGCATTTGTGGCAGCTGCTGACATTAAATGAAACCTTATTATATGAAACCTTTATATAATGAAACATTTAAAGAAACAGCCACCCTGGCACAATACAAAGTATCTTTAGACACCATTTCCCACAGCTCTAAGCTGAACTTTTACCATATATATTGGCATACATTCTGGATAGTCTTCTTGTTGGCATTTGTATTTTCTGGAGTTTAAGTGGACGTATGATTGTGTGTTATTCACATCCTGAAACATGATCTTAGTTTTCATCTTGCTTTACATCAGTAACCAGAATTGCTAGACCAGAGATCCCTCCTCCGCCAAGCTAGCCTGAGGGAGCTTGAACTGAGTATCTTAATTGGCTCCTATATAAATGATCTTTTTTTTTTTAGCTGTAGGTCACTTATGAGTTGCCATTTGTAAGAGGTGGGCGGTTGTGTCACAGCAGCGTCATGGGGTCAGGTAATAATCCCGTGTTGTAAGAATTTGGTCCCACCCCTGTCCCCTGAAGGTCCCTCTCCCACCACCTGCATGTGACATGGGTCTCTGTTCCGCTCAGAGATGCCCTTACATGGTACAGGAATGGGGCAAAGCATTCACACACACACACACAAAAAAAAAAAAAAAAAATGTCAAATGTTGGCGTGAGTCTGCTGTCACTCAGCAAGAAAACCAGCAGACTTGGCAAGCATGTCAGGGAAATGTGGACTTAAGACGCGCATATGAGCCGTCCCATTTATAACTTTGTTGGAGTGTGTCTCCTGAAATACTTGTCTTAGGAGAGAAGACATTCCATACCCAGTGAATGTGGGAACAAACTGGCTTGCAGTAATGCTCTCTTCCTCTCTGTGACATGACATGTGATTATTTTTGCTTTGGTGTGATGGATAGAAGTTCCCTCTCTGCAGCTGTCATATCTTGGTCCAGGCTCTGCTATATTCCAGCAGTCTTTCACTCCCAAGCGTCACTCTAGACGGTTCCCATTGTTGTGTGCCTAAATATGGTTCCCAGAGTGGTCTCCTCCTGATGCCAAACTTGCACTTTCTAGCTGTACACGTTTGCAGCCGGGCGTGCAGGCCGAGCCTCACATCAAGCCTTTGTGGCAAACGGCTGCAGTTATTCGAGGCATTGTTCAGATAAGCCACAGATATTCCAGGCTGGTAAACTCTACCGTGGGAAAAAGAGCAAATGGCACACAACACGGGTGGTACGCTATTGTGTCCGAGGAGACGAGGCCGGCATGGCAGGCCGCTGCAGAAAGAAGGCCGAAGCTGTTCGTGATTGTAAACTGGGCTACCAAGACTTTCTGCTCTTAAGGGTTTATAGGTTGTGCTTCATATTACAGCTGCATTCCTGTGCCATTATTTAGGTTGTAAGTCTCCTCAATCAAAATAAGAGCAGATTTCAAGTGTTAAAGGTTTAGAATCTGCAGAACCCTGGGAGATCCAACTCCAGGAGTTCAGAGTCCCCCTGAATACAGGCACCGGAAACTTAAGGTATATTTGCCAAATTTCCGATGCTCTGAGGGACTCCAGAATTAGTGTTGCGTACAAAAACCCGCAATGCTTCAGTACAATCTCCACATTCCTACAGATGAGTGCAGCTGTCAGCCGCTTAAATATAAATATGTAGGATTCCCCAGTTCATCATTGCAGGTAGGTGTGTAATGGTGTGGCAGCCTAAGAATGGATCGGTTTTCCATGATGTGAGTCTGATGATGCAAGCGATGTCCTAAGCCCTACGCTGGCCTGGCCGTCAAGACGTCCTTATTCCCTTTCTGTTAATTATGTGTAATTATATGTCTGTGGCTTTGTGGTGGGAACCGGAATGTACCGGTGTGAAATGTCACCGCCATGTTCCCGTCATACGCAAGACAAGCACGTGAAAAGCATAGAAATCCACAATCAGTGTTTGAAGGCAATACGAAGGCAAACTAAACAGCTCATGACCTAAATTTAGTTAAAACAGCTTAGGAATGACAAGTATGTCTGCCACTCCAGCTTGTGATGGCTTCTTTCAGACTGCTGATCTGATCATACATAGTTTACTATCCTGTTTCATGTCACACGAGGAAAGATATTTTACTAGTTACTAGTTATATCTTAACATGTTTCTTAAGTTTTTAAATCATGAGACTATATGAAAGACTAATTGAAGTGGTGGACTAAGGGTCCAAAGCATCCTCATTTCAATGCATTGTAGACAATATGGTTTCTTCAGTTTTTTCCTTTTTTTGTATTAACATACCACGTAATAGAATGGTGGTGACTTTTATGTATTATCTGTATTTTAAAATATGGCTGCTGTTTGATTAAGCAGTTATCCGGATAGGGTTACATTAGGCCAGTGCTTTTGCAATAGGGAAAAAAAAACTGGATGGTTTCACAGGGGGTTTATGTTCGTGTCAGAAAGGCCACCGGCTGGCCAATGCATTAATCTGTGAAAACGACTATTTTTGAGTTTTTAAAGTACTGTTTCCTTAGAGCTGTTAGGTAGAAGGAGATCCCTAGAATAATAATCTTGCTGTGGCATCCCATAATGCTCATGGAGTGGAATGATGAGAACGCAAGTGGGCCTTTGACTGATGACCACCCCCCCCCTCTCGCTGGTGTCTCTGTACATCCTGTTGCCTCTGATTTGTTCCACAACGGTCACCAGCGATCGAAAAATCTCGCCGTTCTCATTCTTTCAGCTCCCATAGATGTCTAATACTTACTAACACACTAATGGAAAAGGATACGTAACAGTCAATGTTCTAGGTTTGCAAAAAATGAATTTGAGAGAGATGATTTGCAGGACCTACATACTTGACTGAATTAATATCACTTTGCATTGACTCTCAACGAATAATGTCCACCCACATGTGACACTGCTGCTCTTTATCACATTTGCACAGTGAGAGGGATCCCGTTTCCTGGTGTCCTGATCCAGAGCTGTTCACTCAAACAGTAGAATGTCTGTTCTGTTCTCTGCCCTCCCCGACAACTTTCGTGCTCAAGTCTCAGTAATTACTTCCGATGGCAGATACTCACAGGATTAACCATCACAAAGGATGTCACTCAGAGGAACTGAAGCTTAGTTCAAGGGTGTTACCAAACGCACCTCAGTGCCAAGAATGGGAGTCATGGGGCTGATTGCCCGGAGGTACTTTGATTGTCCTGCTTCTTGGGGAAAGCGGCTAGTTTAGTGCAGAAAGAGGTAGATGTCAGGTGGTGCAGCTGTACAGGGTACAGATGACGTATTCGGGGGGTTCAAGGCTTCGCCCAGAAGACCCAGCCCCTGCCATGGAACAATGTGTCTCAAAGCTGGTGCAGCAAAAATCATTATTACAACTCGCTCCAAGAGGCTGAAAACAAACTAACAGTGGCTGCTTCTCCTCCTACAGACAGTATTCTGGTAGGCGGCTGGTTTAAACTGGTGTTAAAGCATGTTTCTATAACTGTAGAAAAACATACTGCAGGGATTGCTTTACATTTATTGCATAGACATAAATTCAATCTGATTAGTTTCGTTTTGGTTACATTATAAATTCTGCAGCTTATAAGAGATGCTTAGTTACCAAGAAGTATTTGAGAAAAAGGCAGTGTGAAGTTGTGCTGATGGAATAAAACCAAGAATATGGCAGGAAGTTCTCAGTTAGAGGTATGCAGACTATGTTCTGTATAGAAGCTACATGTGCTTTTTACAATCAGCTTTTTTGTTAATGGCCTATTTAATGGTGATCCGCTATGCAACGCTGAGTATGTGAAAGACAGCTTTGTTGGCCAACCTTGACACAAGATGCACGCGAGTCTAACAAGCCTGGCCTCTCCCCCCACCCCACAAATACCAGTGAAGGTTTGGTGGGAATGGAATTCCTGACTCCCGTTCAAATCAACAAAACATCTACTTTCAATACAACAATGGCCCAGTCTGACAGGAAGGGATCTGTGAGGGCAAACGGAACTCTGCCGTGAAACCACATCTTCCATTGAACTCCTGGATTAACAACAACAGACAGCATCCCCACCCACTCCATCCTTAGCCAGAGAGAAAACAAGACCTTTACCAACACTGACAACAGAAAGGGGTATAAATATTATACTGGTGAAGCACACAGACTGCAGCACTAGCTTACAGTCCAAAGACCTTCAGCTGAGAATTTCAGTTATCCGGTCATGCTTCATATACACTGTGAATATTTCAAGACACATTCCATTACTGGCAGCCTAATCTCCCTTCATTCAACAGGGTTCATACTTTAAATGTCTGCCCTGCAGCAGCTTTCAGATTAAAAACGTTAAGACAGAATGCAGGAGTTTAGGTTTTGCCGGCTGGCAGGAATGCGTTTAGTTTCCTCCTTCCTTTCAAAATGATCTGAACTTTCCCTCTGGCCTATCAGACTATAGGTGCTGAACTGTTAGGCATTAATTGTGCTGCACACTGCTGTCCATCCATGCGTCTCCCAAGCGCTTATCCCATGCAGTGGGGGCCTGGAATTTCTCCCAGGCAGTACAGGGCAGAAGCATATATAGTCAGATACACTATATGGACAAACATATTAAGTCATCACACCTACAGGAACTTTTATGACATTCCATGCTAAATCCATAGGCATCAATATGGAGCTGGTCCCCCCTTTGCAGCTATAACAGCTCCCACTCTTCTGGGAAGGCTTTCCACAAGATTCTGGAGTGTATCTGTGGGAATTTTTGCCCATTCATCCAGAAGAACCTGATTTTGGACGTGAAGGCCTGGTTTGTAACCTCCATTCTATTTCATCCCAAAGATGTTCGATGGGGTTGAGGTCAGGGCTCTGTGTGGGCCAGTCAAGTTCTACCACACCAAACTTACCCAACCATGTCTTTATGGACCTTGCTTTGTGCACTGGGACACAGTTATGCAGGAACAGAAAACGGCCTTCCCCAAACTGTTCCCACAAACTTGGAAGCATATAATTGTCCAAAATGTCTTGGTATGCTGAGGCATTAATAGTTCTCTTCACTGGAACTAAGGGGCCCAGCCCAGTACCTGAAAAACAACCCCATACCATTATCTCTCCTCCACCAAACTTCACAGTTGGCACAATGCAGTCAGGCAGGTAATGTTCTCCTGACACCTACCAAACCCAGATTCGTCCATCAGACTGCCAGACAGAGAAGCATGATTCGTCACTCCACAGAACACATTTCCACTGCTCCAGAGTCCAGTGGCGGTGTGCTTTACACCACTCCATCTGACGCTTGGCGATGTGAGGCTTGCATGCAGCTGCTCGGCCACGGAAGCCCATTCCTTGCGCACAGTTTTTGTGCTGTGATTAATGCCAGAGGAAGTTTGGAAGTCTGCAGGTATACAGACCTCTACACACGATGCGCCGCAGCACTCAGTGACCCCACTGTTACTTCATGTGGTCTGCAACTTCGAGGTTGAGTCTGCTGTTGCTAACTGCTTCCACTTCACAATAATACCACTTACGGTTAATTGTGGAATATTTAGCAGGGAAGAAATTTCATGAACTTACTTATTGCAAAGGTGGCATCCTATGGCAGTATGACGATTAAATTCACTGAGCTCATCAGAACAACATTCTTTCACAAATGTTTGTAAACCTGACTGCATAGCAAGTTTATTTTATGCACCTGTGGCAATAGGTCTGAATGAAGCATCTGAGTTCAATGACTAACAAACTTCAGTACAAACTGCACGAAGGCAAAAAAACATTACAATATGAAGAATGTGTAACTTCCAATTTAATTACCTTCCAAGTACCTGCTTCTATCAAAATGTAGTTACAATCTAGTCAGATTTTGAGTGAACAAAACAAGAGCCAAGTATTTAAGATCACAACTTTTAATAGAATATTCTGTTCTGTATAAATTTAAAAGATCAAACTGAATAAACTGAGAAGGTCAGAGCGAGCACTGTCCACAGAAGTTCAAATGCTACAGCCGACATTGACAGGGGTGTCTGCTATGACAAACAAGGTTTGTCTCACTGTAAATCATTGTGTTTAATGCATTGTGTGGTTGTTGAATAGACATACTCATTATGGGAAAGAACAAACATCTGCAACGTATTAAACATCAAAATCTCTAAAATTTCTAAAACCCCGTCCTTTCTCCTCCACCCCTTCGGTGACACAGCAAGCAGCCTTTCAAATCGGTAACTAGGATAAAGACAGCGTTCTGATGGTACACAAAGTGTACAGGCAGTGTGAGTAACAGGCCAGAACTACATATTGCTCAATTCCAACAAAAATGATGCCGCACCTTGGTTTGTTAGGACTGCATCACCATGTCAGGAACAATAAAAAAAAAAAAAAAGGTACGGCAAAGGGTTTTTTTTTTTTTTTAAATCCACAAAAAATACATTTGGCATCAAACCTAAAATTTATTCGCAAGCGCTTGTGTAAGCAAACAGCATTGGTGTGGAGGACACGGAGCAGACACCTGCTATGCAGTAGGCAGTCACCCACCTCCATGCTGCATATCATCAGCATATGCATTTCCAGAAACACACTAATAAATATCTTCTTAATATGAAAACATTTAAGAGATTCCATTCAACAGAGAAAGAAAATGAAGCCACTGGAATCATACCGTTAAGTCCTCATCAGTCTGGTGCTAAACTTTCACACGTTTATTGGCATAAAATACCCTGAGTAAGCTGCTATACCACTGAAATATTGGATGAGCTCATGTTACTTCAGGTGCAGGGCTTCACACATAGGAGATCATCTGCCCAGGAACTTCCAGTTTGGTCTGAAAGCAGCGACCCTCAGCACAGGCAGCAGATCCACAGTTGTCTAACCCATAGGCCATTTTATTTACAGTGTCGTGTCACTATTTTCAGGCAAACTCTCTCCTTTGGATGGGTCAGGGGCAGCACAGAGTGAAAAGTCATGCATCTGAACATTTGGTCTCTTGTGTTTGCAGCTGGAGTGGGATGAAGGGAGGTGGGAAATGAATCCGCTGACTTCTGGGGTGGAGGATGGGCTGGACTGACGAGGAACCTCAGATAGACCTCCACGCTACTGCTGCTTATAGCCTGCGGGCTGCTTCTCTTCTTTCTGCACAGCGACAAACAAAAGAATGAACTGACCAGATAGGAACAGTTCGGAAGAGTTATGTAGCTACAAAGGCCAGAAGGTGTTACGTTTTGGGCAGGGACAGCAGACAGGAACAGGATGACAGGAACAAGATGACAGTGTACCAGACAAAAATGAACACGGGGAACATGTTTCTCCAGGCTAGAAATGTTCTTTCTACAGATCAGATGGATCTCCCAGGTGCCCACAGGCACACTGCTACAGACCCCCAAAGGCATTGGCTTCATCCTTACATTCCCTCTGCAGCCTATGCAACATCAAAACAGGATGAATATTGAGGCGTGAATTTCATGCAGGTCATCCTCGCCAGCTTTGAACAGAACGAGTATGAGCTGGGACAGTTAAGCAACACAGTAACCGGGAGCAGAGTGAGAAAAAGACTGGAGAAACACCGTTTCCTACCTTGACCTATAGAATGCATGGAGTGACAATTACGCCTGTAATAAGGGTTAAAAAAAAAAAAACAAACAATTACAACCAAATTCATGACAATATTCCAAAACTAATCCACAAACACGCATAAGGACACACACACAGATGTGTCCATGCACAGCTGCTTAGACAGTAACAACTAACATGCAAAAACAATACTGAAGGGCGCAGAATATTCAGGCAGCGATCTTAGCTCAGACGAATCAGTCCTGCCATTCAAATTATTGTTTGCCGAGCTCATTATACGGAAAGCTTAAAAAGGTTCCCAAAACGAACCTTGGGGTCATCTCCCTCATCATCTTCATCTTCTTCATGATCCTGCTACATAGAGAAATGAGTAACATTGTAACAGTCCATTGCCTACCCCCAGCCCCCCTCCCAAAAAAAAACACTGTTCCCCCATGCCCAATGCCTGCAAACAAACACCGCTTTCACCTCCTCCTCCCCTTCCTCAAGTTCCTCCTCTTCATACTAGTGAAAGACAGAACAAGCAAGAATGACCCCTGGGTTCACAGGCAGTTAAGTCAAGCTGATTGGTGCAGTGGTTGAGGAGGTGGGGCTTACGCTCTCATCATCCTCCAGGGCCTCCCCAGTGAAGTAGAGCACCGCATGAGGGACTATCCTTTCACGGAAGAAGTGGCCAATCTCAAAGTCTGTTGCTAAAATTAACTCGGAATCCTCATCCTGGGGGGAAAAACACACACACACATACAAGAATATCCACCCAACCATCTTCTAATGGCTTATACCTTGGTCGGGGTGGCGGGTGGTAAATTTCCTCACTGGAATATTATACATCAATACCAAATTAAAAATACTGTCGCAAGTAGAAAATCTGGTGTCAAATGTAAATCGACATTTCTTTCTGCAAAAGTAACATACAGACGGTATTTCCCAATGCAGTAATTTGTCAATATGGCCAGTATCACATCCCGTCATTATTAATCTGGTCCAAGTTAGTGCACACTCATGCACTTTTACAGAGAAAAACTGAAAAATCTTTTGTATAATCCCTTTTTCTAACCATTTTATGTATGTGTAAGATTGGGGGGGTTACTGCAAACATGATTTCCAATTTAAATAATCAGCAGAGACCCTGGATAGCTAGATACTAGATTTGTGTGTATGGATGATGGGTTCAGAACACTTACCATCTCTCCATCTGATGAAACTGCAAAACAAAGCAAAGAAGTTATTCTGCAACTTTATTAGAGGGTGGTACTTCATGAACTGATTGGGCATGTTTGAGAGCCCTTCCTGGCTATAGTGCTGAAATTCAGGCCTCTGGTTTACAGGCACAAGGTCGCACCCTGATGAAGGGAGTTGCAGCGAGGCTCAATCAGCATGAGCATTGGGGTGCTGGCCGCAGTAATGATTAATAAATACCACACAAGAGGTGTGTCTCCAAGTGGACTTTGTCACAGCTAAGAAACCAGCCGGACCACATTCCTTAAGATGCATGCTTGAAGTCTGATGACATCCATCAAAGCAGTTTAACTTCCATGAATAAGATTTTAATGATACCACTATCAACAACAGAAGAAAAAAAAAATACCGCAAGGAAACAAAACGACAAAATTCATTCATAACATTAGAAAACTATAACCTTGCTTACAATATCCTGAACTAAAAATTCATCTTCTGTGAAAAAGATCTGGTATGCATGAGCAGTGTTCGCGGGCACGAGAACGAGAGTCACCGTCTTCCCACAAATAAGAACCAAGCGCCACATGATGCAGCCTCTTTCAGGTGACTCCCTCAAACTTTTATAAGTTTATAAGTTCTTTTAAAGGCTCTCTCGTAAGCAGCCACTTGCAGGCCCTTTATCCAACAAAGGGCCGTGGCCGTGTGACCAATGACAGCACTGTTAGAGTGGATTCAAATGATGAAATCACAAGGGAGGAGGAGGAATTGTCTGAATATTTCTGATTTTCAACAAAGACCGGACTGGACAAACCTCTTCAGTAGTTTGTCTGCAAATTAAATGCTTTAAATGAAATAGATGGGAGTGAAAATGAGAAAGGAAACCAATCCTGTACATTTATTATAATACAGCTGCCTAAAGGCTTAGTAATATAACCCATTAAACCAACAGAACTGGTCCGTCTCTGATGTGTCATCCTTTGTAAGGTGACGGTCACCCGCTACACCTTCCATTCATCATTCTGGTTTCTTTCAAAAGTCCTGTCTTTAAATCCTTTTATTTTGTTTGCCAATTTCACGTGTATGAATTGTCCCCTAAATGCAGACATGCATTCATACATAAAATTGTACCTATAATTTACAATTTACATGTAAAACATCACGCAGGTTCACAGCATGGCAGCTGACAGAATGGATAGCAGCTCGCGTCCAACATCAGCCCTTGCTCTCACACCCACGCAGAAGATGTTCATTCAGAATCCGTTTGACATTACAATAATGTGCAAGAATCAAGATACTTGTAACAACATTGCAATATAGAACAAGTCAGTCTGGTTATAATCACAGACATAAACGATCATTCTGCACGCTGCCATTTTACAGCTTCCGATGGAAACATGTAGCAAGCGGGCAAGAGCTGTGCTCAGTGTGGACAACCAAAGGGATGCAGACTGGCTACAGTAATCCTGAGGGAAATGTGAACCTTGCCATTTTTCCAGTCCCCCTCTGGCTAACAGAAAAGGTCACTTCTTTGAAATTCCAATCACTGCAAAGCTACAGTAGGCGGGGGATGGTAAACGAATAAACCTTTTGATTTTTTACTTTAACTGTAACGTTATACTGTATAATTAATATGTTCTGTTACACGTTTACACAAGAATATGAATGTACATTTTTACATTTGTCTCCAGAAGCTGCATTTCACAATATCTTATGTAAAAATGACAACGGCATTCTATTGTATACAACCAGCAATGACTAAACGCTTACTTCCAGTGTTGACATGCTGCCACCTACTGGCTATTACGAACCTGTAGTGCCAAACATCTACATCGGCAAGCAGAGAGCCTTAGGATCTCTTCATAAAAGTTAACATGCTCTACCTTTGATGGGGTTGAAGAAGTTGAAGAAGGAGTCGCTGGGTACTTGCTTGGTGATGGTCCGCACCGTGCCCCTCCCTTTGTGTTTCTGTTTCTTCTTTATGGTTTTTACGGTCACGTCTTTGCCTTTATGCCAATCAATTTCACAGCTGGACACAGAAGAAAGCTGATAAGGAAATAAAACAACATACTACAGCATAAACCTTTAGATAGAGCAATTTCCAGTATAGTAGCTTAGTGGAAACTATAAAATGAGGGGAAAAAATTGAGGCAAGCACTGTGGGTCACTTTATGAAGCCTAGAGCAGTGTTTCCAACCCAGGCCTCAGGGGACCACGGACAGTCCACGTTTTTGCTTCCTCTCAGCTCCCAGCGCACCTGTACCAGGTATTCAGTGTTCCTGATTGGCTGGGAGCTGGGTGGGAGCAAAAACGTGCGAATAAGGATTACCTGCAGACAAAACAATGAAAGCTTTGAAAGCTAAATGCCATTTGCCTCACTTGTATGTCACCTTGGACAGAAGTGTGTGCTGAATAAATGTAATGCAAATGAAATTTCATTGATCAACCATGTATTTTAGTGAGGGAATGAAGAAAAGGTAATGTAATGGGCACAGTGTGTGACACTGGGTTCGGACACTGTGGAAGGTTGTTGGTTCTAATCCGCCATTGGGCCCTTCAGTAATCCCAGTTGCTCCAGGGACTGGCCGCCCCCTGCTCTCTCAACTGCACGTCACTTTCAATAAAAAGTGTCTTGCTAAAAACATAAATGTAGCATGCAGCACTGGATGGCTTGGGTCTGCTGGTTCATCTCACCCCTCACAGTCCACAATCTCTGGACCCTCAAAGGAGAAGGGATCTTCAGGATCTGGTTCGGACTTCATTCTGTAAACCTTTGTGAGGACCTCGTTTTTAAAGAAGTTGTTTGGCTCAAAGTGAAACTCCAATGTGAAGCTCTGTTAGGGGAAAAATAGGCACATATGATAAACACAAGGGGATCATACGGGAAACAGGTTATATGCAATACATACAGTATGCACATGACACTTACATATCACTTTGAATATAAATGTTTGATGTTTAGTTGTCACACTAACCATAGGCTGGTCAGGGTCAGAAAATTTCACTTTGATGTCTTGTAAGTATCTCAGGATCGGCTCATCATGTTCCTAATGGAAACAAACGCAAACACAGGGGAGGGTATGAACCCTCCATATAAGGGCATGAACCCTCCATATAAGGGCAGTTAAAATTATTACATAATATTTCCAACAACAACCTGTTAATAAATAAAATGCGGACAGAAAGGACATTATTAAATCTTAAATGGGCAAACATCTGAATATTAAGAAATGAAGCATCGAAACTACCTTTCACAAAAAACATCCATTAATTGTTTTTGTCTCCAAATATTAAAATACAGATGAGCTCTAAAATACTTACTGTAACAGGCTCAAATAGTTCAAGTCCTCACTATCCATTGAAAAAGCTTGGAAAATGGGGGCTAATATTGCAGATAAGAATGAATAAACTATATATGTTAAGGTGGTTTTTTAATCCACATGTGTGTAAACAGTGTGAAGTCAGGTGATGTCATGACCCCCTCAGAGGATGACAGGGATAGCGGCAAATGGCCTGCAAGTACATAAATGGGATGTTGGGGATTCTGAGGAGAAATAGCACCACCGGGGGGAGCACTGCTTTGGGCAGACTAAGCAATCATAAAATGTTTTATAGCAGCATTTAGGTACTAGCGAATCAAAACATAACTGTCAAATTTAAATCCAGCAAATGTCAGATTTCAGCTATAAATTTCCCTAGAGGTTACATTCAACTATAACTTATGAATGTTGCACATGGCTCAACCCACGGCAGCCATGTTCCATGTATACAGCTTTACCTGTAGCATGTCACTAAGCATGTCAACGTTCTTGAAGATGGTGAGCCAGAACTCCGGGACGCCTTTGGGGCCCTCCTCTGCGGGGGCCTCCTCTGCGGGGCCCGCTTCTGCCGGGGCCGCCGCCTCTGCGGGGGCCGCCGCCTCTGCGGGGGCCGCCTCCTGCTGCAGAGCAGCCTCCACAGTGGCCTTCTTACTCCGGTCATCCTGTCAGCACAACACGACAACGACAGGTTTCTTTTTATGCACTTTAAGAAAAAATAAATAAATAAAATCTAACTAGCTACATTTTGTGACATAATGTCAAACATTTGGGGGGGATCAAATCAGTTACAAATCGTGATTCATTGAGATGGTGATTTTTATTTCGCCACAAAAGTTAAAAAGAACCATTTTTAAATATCAATTTAAGCACAGACTGCTGTGATTATTTTGCCAACATTAATTTCTTCTAATATTCCCCCCCTCAGTTGCACACGGCCTGATTTTCTTAAGGGACTGACATGCACAAGTTTGGCACAGTGCTATCATGAAAGAGCAAACGTGCACAGAGTGTTTTCCAGTTGGGCTAGTTTTGGGTTCTACAAAATAAATGAAAACTTAGACATGAGTACGTCTATCTGCTTGGGATGACCGTTTGGTGCAATTTCAGTACAGCAGAATTAGATTAGAAATTATTATTAAACCTGAACAATACAGGAACAGTTGTTAACCAAACATAAGGCAAATTGTCTCAACGTGGCTAATAAAACCTAAATACATGAAAAATTCAAAAATAACATAATAATCATAACGAACTAAATCCCATCGAAATCCTGTTCTCTACTGTTGAGAGTGGCCATATACCCATAGTGATAAACACCCTTCGAGCCTTAGTTGTTTTTTTAAACCCAGTCTGAGTTTCCTGGCAAGAGAAGCGGAAGTGCCACAGGGATACTAACTTGCAGAGGTCGTTTCTGACCTACTGCACTCGTTCATACACTTGGCGCTCTTCTCAAATGAGTCAGCATGTTGGGTGCATTTCCAGCAACATATCCGAGTTCAGCAGAGCCAAGTCTTTGTCTTATCAGCTACTCTCTCTCTGGTGATGTTGTAATTTATTGGGAAACCAAAATGTTCCCAGATTACAGTTTTGAGTGACGTGGGAAGGCCTTTGAGCTCCCCTGGACCAGCTCACTGCCACAATTAGCATAATGTTTTCCGTGTTGAACAACTACTTATTTTAGCTTGTGCCCATGTCAAGAAAGGTATTCATTCATTTCACTGTGCATTCCAAACCGAAAATGATGTAACGGAATGGCATGCAAGAAATACATGAATTATTTGTCAATTTTAAAATAGTTTTTGCTGAAGGCCCTTTCAGATCCACATTTTAAAGCAACTACAAGGGTTGTAACAGCCCCCGTAAGTCGGGCCCCCAGAAGTAGCAGATTTTAACCAAACCAGTCTCAGTCATTTGTGCCTTTGAATTTTTCATTGTGCTGCTTTAGTTTCCGAGGTATAAATGTTTACATGATGATGTCACCACCATGGAGTTGGCGCCCCATTCGCGTCTGATTTGGATTAAACCGGATTAAAGTGTGTTTGCTGGATAAAAATCTTCATGCCGTTATTTTTCAGTTGTAACTCATGGTTTATGACATGGGTGGGCAATCTGATCCAGAAATGACCGTTGTGCATTCAGGTTTTTGCCGCAACTTTTGCCTAATTAGAAGATTGATTGGCTGAAGAGTCCTCACACCTGGGTTTGAACAGCTGATCTAAAGGTTATCCCAAAAACCTGCAAACACACCAGAGGATAAGACTGCCCACCCCTTATATATGCCATTGCTGTATAGTTTTCATGCTTATAAAAATTCACGAGTTGGGCCCCCCAACCAGTACCACTTGCCTTGGGGAGTTTACCACCACACTGCCTGATCCAGCACACAAGTAATATGTAATATGCAGAACATGGATACATTGTAACTTCTTGTTTTACATGAGTATACTGTACAGGGACTGGATATTTATGAAAGGCACAGGCAATCATACCTGCCCGTTCCAGCTGTGAATTGAGTGGCACTATTTAAACACGCAGCACTGCAGCTGGAATCAGTGAGACAGATGGGGGGAGACGGTTAGTGCAGTGAGACTGGCACTGTGTGCTGCAGCCAACTCACAGCCAAAGCCTCTTCATCCTCATGGTCACTGTGCCACTCACACTCCTCATCTGTAGGTTCCACAGCTCCAGTCACTATGTTGTATCTCTAGGTAAATAAAACAATGACCAGATCAAAGAGATCAAGTACTGCTTTATTCACAGGGTGCACAGATACCATAAGCAGTTACTGAAATCAGGGTCATCTTTGACCCGTTTGTCCCAACGGAAAAAGCAAAGTCTGTTACATAGCAGTTGACGATTCACATATATGGCTGCAACGCTGCCCGTGTTCAAACCCCTTCCCCTAGCGTGAAGGGCTCCCCCATCACACAATTAGAAGTACATTTATAGACAACCTCCAGGCTAAAGGAGAGTCCCTGAGTCAGTCCTGATTCCGCTTTAACACCCAGGGCAGTGCAGTGAATGTCCCACAGCCAATGTACCTTGTCAAAATGAGGCTGGTAGAGAGCAGCATACTTCCTCTCCAACTCATGGACCTCCTTGTAGAATTTGGCCTCCAGGTGGGCCCCCTGGACCTGCAGCTGCTTTAGCGCATTGACTCGTCTCTTCACAGACTTGGGCAGCAGGCTGAAGAGGACAGCAAACAGGCAGAGAATGAACAGGAGATGGAGCTGGTGTTTGGTTCAGTGGGCTTGGCCGAGGAATGGGTACCAAATCCTGGTTGGCAAAGGGTACCGAAACCAGGTATTAAAACAGACTCCAGGGCTAAATTATTAAAGACCGTAGCATCAATAGGCTCCGAAGTTAATCAAAGTTCTGTTTTCGGTACTAGATAAAGAAAATAGGGAATCTATTATTGCTACATAAAAGTTCTCGCACATTTCATCTCACCAGCTCCATTTCTGATTACATTTTCGCTATTTTTAATGCAGAAGAGAGAGAGATCTCTCTCAGAGCCTGTGTGTAAGGGGCGGGGCACGAAGCAGCCCACTCGCTCCATCTCCCGCTCTCTCACACGCAGCAATGTGCAGCACACACAGATCATACTTTTAGTGATGATGGCGGCGAGATCATTCAAAAGTGTGGTTACATTTCACTAGTGGCGATGCTGATAACGCTCATTTCCACAACTGCAAGCAATCAGTCGAAACATCTAGCAGAACTTCATCACATTCATACAGAGAAATGCACAGTTTGACTGTCTAGCTCGTACTTCATCTGTTGTTGCTCCATTTATGTTTGCTAGTGGCCTAGAGCCCCCACACTGAGTTAACCAAATTATACAAATATGGATTAGTGATTAGACAGCTGATTGTTATGGGTGTGTGCAAAACATTGCCGTTTCTTTTGCTTAAAAAAATTATTTTGTATTTCAATAAGCACATCATCATCTATAACAGTGACGTGTTCAAAATAATGTTATCGCAGTTTGCAACTCAAGAATTAATTTATATACAGTACGTATGATGAGTACTGTTAAAGTGCTGGCTCGATAAGCCGTATCATAAGAGCAGTACCGTTAAAATCTTAATGATACCCATCTCTAGTTAGGCCCCTATGCCTGTGATCGGAATGTCAGCAGTTCTAGTCCTGGCAATCACATCTCTGTTGAGTTCTTGACCCTTAACTCTCTGAAATGCTTCAGGGAAGCTCATAAATGACTTGACCCTGCGTTCAGAACCAAAGCTTAGCTCTTAACTGTATATAGCTTTAAATACACGTGTGTGTATGTCACGACAGGAGAGCAAAGATGGGATATGTGAAAAGAAGCATTCCAGCATCCGTGACTCATAATTTGTCCAAATGGAAAATAAAGCAGCAGTAAATTAAGAGAGGACCTTCAGGATAGCCTGTTTACACAGACTGTACAAAGAAAAAGGAATATAGGGGCATCTGTATAACAATTTACATAGCAGTTGTTCCCCAGTAGGTCACTAACCTACTACTCTACAGTAGCCTACAGTAACCTAACGTAGGTCACTAACCTACTACTCTACAGTAGCCTACAGTAACCTAACCTAACCTACAGTAGGTCACTAACCTACTACTCTACAGTAGCCTACAGTAACCTAACGTAGGTCACTAACCTACTACTCACCTCACAATGTCAAGGGGGGGGGCAGGCATCATGCCCCCGGGACACCGCTGCGCAGCTGCTGCCGGGGCCTGAGGATTCGGTGCAGTCGGAGCTCCTGCCTTACCTGTCAAAATCAGGCACACACCTGTCTCACTCCACTCACGTCTGCCAATCCGTAGCCGCAAAACTGATAGATGCTCTTTGAATGACATTTTCCCTGTTTGTTTTTCTGCTCCCCCTGCCGTAAGTGAGACTTTTGCCAGGCAGCTCCATCCAGCAAGAGCTTGTTAGTTTTTAAATCACATTTGCGTGCATAACAAATCTCTCGAATGACTGGCAAATTTGTAAGAGATATTTCTGAACCATAAACGACCGCAGAGGGACAGACACTGTCATTACAACTCTCAGTATTAAACAAATGAACAGATATTCCACAGAGAATGGTTTTCAAAGTACTGTAAAGAAAGCCAGTGACTACAGCCCCTGCTGACTCACATTATTCCATGGGTAAGACTGCCTCCCTAGCAGCAAGCCTCACAAACACACACAATGCCGTTAGGAGGAACACCAGTGTGATGCCTGTGAACACTATTAAAATCCTACCATCCACCCACTAATAGAGGAGCACAACTGTAAATTGCAGGACTTACTGCCTGACTCCCATTTTACAGATTGTGTAAAAAAAAAAAAAAAAAAAAAATTGTAAAATTTTAAGATTTCAAATTTAAAATGATTGTTGTAAAACAGACAACTGATGTCTGTGGAGTTCAGACACACAGGTTCTGTAGACCACTGGCCAATTTATTTCCAGGTGTCTCATCTCTCCCGTAATGAATTACAGATAATCTGACAACACACATACTGCTGTATGCTGAGTCACAGATGCGGCGTTTACTGCAAAAGGCCCCCATGCATTAAAACACTTTACCTGTATCTTCATTCTTGTCTTTCTCCATTATCGTAATACAGCTGTGGTCTACAATACAAATGATAGATGAGGAGATGTATTGGTTCATCCAATATAGACAAAAAAAATAAAAATCTAATCACCGCTTAATTTCCGATAAAAATATGGCCAGATAGTAATCATGTACACCAGGGGTCTTCAACCATTTTTGATCAAAGAACCCCAGAATGGGTGATCAGAAGTAACAAAAAATTTGGGGGGGGGGAGATTATCGTGGACAAAAGTACAACCTTGTGGGGATGACAGTACAGTGTAGGGTACATACACACTACCAGAATTTGAGGAATACCAAACGACCGTGTATGTGAAAAACACAATGCACGTTATCTACCACTGACAGCTCCAAGGAAGAGCATCGTGCAACAGCTGGCTTTTAGTCAACACTGCTTATACTCGTCATAAGTCACCCGTGACTTCATCTTTTAAGTGAGACATGTCTTATCTTGTAAGGTATTATAAGCAGTTAAGGTACTCGGCTGCACAAGCTGGCCAATGCAAGACACATACTGTCATGCATGATACCTTTAAATTAGCGAGCTAATGCACATTCGGCGCGACATAAACTTTGACAGGTCCCCCTTAAAGTGTTGTTGGATGCTTATTAACACTTCAGCTCCGTGAAATACACCCACCACATCCGCACACACAATATATACCGTTGTTTAACAAACCGCTGAGCTCCTCGGTGACGTCAGTCCGCCACCGTAGCGCCAGCGATTGTCACGAGCTTCTTTACGTTTCTTTCAGAATTTTGAAATAACGACTTAAAACGTCGCAAGCGATGCTGGACGGCATCCAGACCGCAGCCACGGGCCAACCTGACTTCAGTCATCACACCGGTAACTAAATCGTTTAAGGCTTAAGTAGCTGCAGAATGACCACGGTCAGTATCACACAAGTTCGCACAAAAACAACCGGGCGGCGCCGCAGCTGCGTCGCTGACCAACTCACCAAGTTAACCGTGAGTCGGCCGAGAAAGCGCCGACACCCAAAGGGCAGCGATACGAGCCGCACCTTAAGCCAGCTGCGAGCTACTGGAGTCTAACGTGCCAGTTTGTTCTGTCCCAGCATGTTGGGCTAGTTAACCAACTACTGGCCGTCACCAAGTATGACAGCAAGCAAGCTAACCACGGACGTCTCGTCATTAGTACGCAGCGCTTATAAGGACCGCAGACGATCAGTGGTAACCTTCGAAATTTGACATAGCGTTTTATCTTAAAACTCTTATCAAAACCCCCTACGTGAACCTAACACATACAACAAGTAACGGACCGTATTTCTCCGTCTTACCGTAAAGCTGTTTTCGTGTTCGCTTTCACGCCTCCCAGATGCAGCGACAGCTGCGCGGTGAATTATCCGTAACTCTGATTGGTCACAGAAGATTCACGTCGCATTATCGCTAGCTGTCATAGGACGAAAAGGATTCGGGATAGTCCTATCAAAAGGCTACGTGGAAAGGCGAAATTGTGCATCACTGGTTCCGTATTAGCTCCGAACGACTTTCAATGGGTTCTGCAAAACATTTTCACCAATATACCCAAACGTTTAGTTTAGACTTCTTTTATGAGGCCACATCATGATCAAACAAAAATACAACCTGATTACATTTAATGCAGGAGTGGATTACAACCTGTAACAGAACATTTGTAATTATGTTCCTTCCTATACCTTTGTTGTGACCTGGGAGTGTTTTTTTATTGTACAGTAAAAAATAACCGCTTTCCACAACAAATTTCTTTTTTGGCTACCCAAAAATGTAAATGCATGTGAGAAATTTATCAGCATAAGATGTTTGCCTGATGCCTCGATGTTTCATTGCTATTTTGCCAAACTACACATAGCACTTCTTGAGAAGGCATATACAACACTAATGAAATCATTAAGTACAGGACAAGTTTTTACATGTATCTTCTCAAACGATTGAACTTGACTCATATAGTAAATTTCCCCTCGTGAACATTGATTGGTATAATCCCAGTAAGAGAAAATGAACATTCACATTAATACAATCTCACCAACAGATATGTTTAACAGCAATGATTACACAAGGCAGGCTTGGGTAATTTGCAATTCTTTAATAATCAACAGTTGCTCACCAATGTTGTTCATTAGACCATTTTCTTCATAATAAAATTTTACACCAACATATTAAGAATAGGATTACAAAATTGGATGCTATGCTAAAGGCTAATCATCAGCTGCACAGATGCCCTTAAGATCCCCAGGAATAAGAAAACAATACAATCCGGGTACCATGGAAATGGCACGGTCCTGCACAGACTCAGCCTGAAGCGGTGCATGTTCTGGGCCCTGCCGTTTCCCAGTACTTCCCAGTATTCTTAGCTGCCATTATGACCCATCTCCAAGTACTCCTTGTGCAGCTTCTCCTGGGCTTCGTAGAGCTTGCGAAGCTTTTTACTCTGTCCCTTGCTGATTTCATTTCCCTCAGCATCATGTGTAGGAAAACCCTGCATGATATGTGTGAGAAATAAGAGATTCTGCTTAATGAAAAAAAACACAATTATTGTGCATATTATATTGCAAAGGAAAACACTTTGTTGAAAAATAAATGTAAATTTTGTAGGAATGTTCAGAACTGTGGCGATTGGCTTGAATTCCCTTTCCTTACCGTTTCATCAAAAGCTGAATATTTGTCTGTTTCTAACCGGAATAGCTCACTGGGTGGAATTTTCATCTTAGCCAGTTTTGCATTCTGTTGGAAAAAATCGTGAAATCATTCAGAGGTTATCATTGGCAATCCCTTTACAGCATTTTATATCCAATTTTTTAAAAAAACAATCACACGACATACATGTTTCTTTTATGTTCTAAGTGATGGAATAGCTTTAAATAATGAAAACAAAAGAATTTACTATGATAAGCACAAACCTGCATAAATGCCTATGCACTGAGACTGAGTAAACAGCTTAATTGGGTTGGCAGTTTAAATGTTGACAATCTTTTTATGTAGTAGCAAGCAAATGCTACTACTTCCTCTTTTTCAGTGTACAGCTGCAAGGTCAGTTGACCTCAGCTAACAGGCTATCCACAGGAGTGGACAAGTTTACCCACTTCTTGTTGCTGTTTCTTTAGTGCTGCCTCTTCTTTCTTCCTTTTCTTCTCCTCCTCCAGCTACAACACAAGAAAAGAGCACAAGACATTAAAGATGCAAGGAGAATCTCATAGCATTCCACAGCATAGTTCCGTCATCTTGTTCAGACATGTTCTTGACAGTCCTGGTATCTAACACTGTTCCATGACTGCATAAACAAATTGTTGTTGGCAAGATGGGTAATAAGACAGTCTTATTTTCCAAATTCCTTTTAGTTATAAATCAAATGCTTAAAAAGGAAACTCCATTGCCCAAGACTGTTGCCAGCCCAAGCAGTCAGTACAGCACTTCCAACAGGGTGTGTGCAAACAAGATACTTTGGTGACAGTGACTCACTCCAGACTGACTCAGTGGTTTGGGTTAACGGGCAGTTTGAGGCAAGATTTCCATCCCTACATTTGGTAGAGCAATTAGTTTCTTCTGGAACCACCTTGCAGTGATTTACATGATCGCTCACACGTTGTCGATCTAAACGATTCTGCTTTAGCTGTAACAAGTTAGCGCAGGCACACCAGCTACCTTGTAATGTCCAGACATAAATATGAAAGAATAGTTTCATAAAGTGTCCCTTAGGTGTATGAAAAGAGCACAGCTATTCACCATTTAAAAAGTTTCATGAATTAAACAGAACGTTTACATAGATTTTTTTTTAAGGCTGGAGTGAGGAACAACAGGAGCATATGGTAAAACTGTCATCTATAAAGCAGTGAATTAAGTATAAATATGTAGGATGCTTATCTGTTCTACTCTATCCTGCCATCCCATGTTATTCCCCTTTACTCCCTCTGTTCTATGCAGATTTTCCTGCTAGACAATGTTACCTTTTTCTTCTCTTCTTTTTCTTTCAGGAGGGTCTCCTTGTCGACCAGTTTCACCACAGTGGGAAGGCCTGGAATCATAGAAAGAAGTCTTACCGTTCCATTCAGAGCACGGCTGAGCACAGAAGAGACAGAGGGAGTCGAACACCAAGCATAAAGACAACACTGTGACGTCCTGAGCAGGGGGAGGGGGAAGCCAGTGGGGATTGTTAAGCTGATGATTAATGATGGGTCCTGTACCTTCATGGTCTTCAAGGCGCACCCCCAGTTCAGGGAGGGTCTCGTCACGCACTGCGTCACAGAGGGCCAGCACTTCAGTTACTGTAGAAAAGGAAGAAATGTCTATCAAACAACTTTAAAAATATACATTTCTTGTACCTCCTACTCCATAAGCTATTTTTAATAGAAATATGCTCTCTGCAGTATGCATAACAATTTCCCCCTGGGATCAATAAAATTTCTTCAATACATCAGGCCTACAGCAGGAGTAGCAGCAAAACAGTTCCCATATTACTGAAATGTCCAGGCATAGGCCACTTTTTCCTTAACAATTCAAGTGTATGATGAAAACACTGCCATCTTGTGGTACATCTGTTTGCTGAAGTAAATAGTCCGCTACTCCAAACAGAGAATCATGTGGCTACAACCAAACACATACAGCATGCAGACAGGGTCAAGAGGTTCAATTTCTGTTTGACTAAGCATTAGAACAGCTAATTAAGCAATTTTGCATGTAGTATGACTGTTAGTGCCATATGTTCCAGTATCTCGGAACCAGAGAATGATGTGACAAGCAAAAAAACATCTAGTGACTGGCTGAAACCACCTTCTTAAGATCAGAGGTCAGTGGAAAATGGCTAGATCCATTAAATCTAACTGGAAGGCCACAAATGTAAAAATAGCATAAAATGGGTGCTACCTGGCACTAGTTAGATGTACCCAAAAAAGCAGCCACTAAATGGAAATTTCAGCTTGAAAAAAGCCCCAAAGTCAGCTCACAGGGGGCTACCTGACAAGTTACGGGTAACATGAAGGTGGCGCTTACCTTTCCGCTCCCTGGCGATTTTGCGAACTCCCTCCCTGAAGTCAGACAGGACTTTCAAGTATGGCATCACTGTGCTTTCCAGCTGGAAAAGCAAGGTAATATGAAGACAGCTCTCTAATCAGCCTTACAAATGCACATTCTTACAAAGTAGTAGCCTCTGTACAGCAACTCAACGCATACTAACGACGTTGCTCCACACTTACATCCACGCCAGCGCTTCCTCCCACCGGAAATCCAACTGTTTCTGTGCCCTCAATCGCTCCGAAAGTCTGCAGGAGAGAAATGGTGGAGCGGCTCTCTGTATCAATTTAATTATGCAAGACGGCTAAGTCTCCCATCTAGATCTGGCAGAGCGAAGTAACATTTCTGCTGGTCCTTCTCACCTGTAGCAGGTCTGTAAGATAGAGGGCGATGCTCTGAAGCAGGGAGCGGTTAGGTACTAGTTTGGCATTCTTCCTGTTGGCCATATAGGTATTGCTTTGGTTGACTAGGGCTCTCATTTCCTCCAGGGTTGTCCTGGTATCAATGTTGTCGCACAGAGCCTCGTGCACCTTGGCCTTCCGCTCGTAGAAGCTGGGAACATTCAACACAGGCATGTTAACCAAATCGGCTCCAGGGTGAAATTACAAACACATTGCTGGTAATCTATTCTAAACTCAGACAGCGGCTTTAGTACGAGTATAATGAAGTATGAAAATTACTTGCCCATTCTCGGCACACAACCACAAACCTCCCTCACCTCTGATTCAGCTCAATCTCCGCCACCTCCCACTTTTCAAACTGGCCCGTGAGGTCAGTTGGGGCTCTCAGTATGTCCTTGACGTTGAGGAAGAACTCCTGCAAGAAACAAGACAACTTGTGGTGACTCCACAAATGCACAGATGAAAAGCAATGTAAGCAAGTACAACAGGAGTAACTACTACTCACATTCATAAATTTCTCATACTGGATGGCGGACTCCATGGTGTTCTCAGAGTAGTCCAGCGTGTCCTTCCACGAGTGCATTAGGAAGGCCAGGCGCAGCTGTCTAGCTGAGGACCACAATGATGCCATGATTCTACCCATATGTACAGACACAAGGGCACTGGCAGATGTGTAGAGCACACACGTGATGTGTACATGACGTGTTTCTCAGCGAGACTAAAAGCGCCTAACTGATCACAACAGAAGCATATGCTAAAAACTAACAAACCAACTGATGTCTGACCAAGTATTCATGATGGTTTTGCAAAGACTGAGAAATGGATTGTAATGATCATATGAACAGAACTGATTAATTGGTGTGCCTACC